GAAAACCTTTTAAAATGTGATGCCGGTACATGTCTGGAGAGAGAACTTGGGAATGAATGATGGTGAATGTGCTTTCCTTCTTTAGTTCATCCTCTCATAGTGGCAAACAGCTGGTGTAGTTTTTGTTTTATTTTTTTTCAACAAACCAGCTATATCCCACTGAGGCAGGGTGGCCTAAAAGGAAAAATCTAAGTTTCTCTTTTTAAATTTAGTAATGTATACAGGAGAAGGGGTTACTAGCCCCTTGCTCCCAGCATTTTAGTCGCCTGTTACGACACGCTTGACTTACAGAGGAATTCTGTTCCACTTCCCCATGCAAGATTACAGGTACGTCTTGCTACTTCTACTTACACTTAGGTCACACTACACATACTTGTACATGTTTATTTATACACACTCATCTGAGTTTTCTTTGATTTTATCTAAACAGTTTTTGGTCTTATTTACTTTTCCTTTTATATCCATGGGGAAGTGGAATAAGAATCTTTCCTCCGTAAGCCATGCGTGTTGTAAAAGTCAACTAAAATGCTGGGAACAATGGGCTAGTAATCCCTTTTCCTGTAATAATTACTAAAAAGAATAAGAAGAAGAAAATTGTCAAAGTGGGAAGTCTGAATGTGAGTGGATGTTGTGCAAATGATAAGAAAGAGATGATTGTGGATGTTATGAATGACAAGAAGCTGGATGTCCTGGCTTTAAGTGAAACAAAGCTGAAGGGGGTGGGAGAGTTTCAGTGGAGAGGAATAAATGGGATTAGGTCAGGGGTTTCAAAAAGAGTTAGAGCTAAAGGAGGAGTAACAATAATGTTGAAGGATAAGCTAAGGCAGGAAAAGAGGGACTATAAATGTATTAATTCAAGGATTATGTGGAGTAAAATAAAGGTTGGATGTGAAAAGTGGGTTATAGTAAGCATATATGCACCTGGAGAAGAGAGAAGTGTTAGAGGAGAGAGAGAGAGAGATTTTGGGAAATGTTGACTGAATGCTTTGGGTAGTTTTGAACCAAGTGTGAAAGTAATGGTGGTTGGGGATCTCAATGCTAAAGGTGGGCAAAAATGTTGTGGAGTGTGGGGGGAAAGTAGTAGGTAAATTTTGGGGTGCCAGGGGTAAATGAAAATGGGGAGCCTTTAATTGAGTTGTGGTGAAGAAAGAGGTTTGGTAAATAATACATATTTTATGAAGACGAGATAAATAAATATAAAAGGGTATGATTGGGCACGTAATGAAAGTAGTTTGTTAGATTATGTATTGGTGGATAAAAGGTTGATGGGTAGGCTCAAGGTTTGTACATGTTTATAGAGGGCAACTGATATATCGGATCATTATTTAGTTGTAGCTACAGTGAGAGTAAGAGGTAGATAGGAAAAGAGGAAGGTGGCAACAACAAGTAAGTGGGAGGTGAAAGTGTATAAACTAAGGGAGGAGGAAGTTCGGGTGAGATATAAGTCTCAGTAGTAGTACCAGTTCCTAGTAACCAGTGTACCAGTAGATGACTCACTACCAACCGTCTGCATGAATCACTGACTGATTATTCATATTGCTGCTGACCATAGCAGGATTTCAAACACCCTCACCCATAGGCACTGTGGGTCAGTCGAAGATAGGGAGCAGAGAGAGGCAGGTCGGCTGTTGGTGCTTTCCCATACTTTCCTTTATATTATACGTACTACCAGCCTACGTGAGTATTCTTACCCCATCCACGTTATCGAAAACCCACTTGACAAATGGTGGCACCAGTGTGGGTGTGGATTTAAGGGTATTTCAGACGTTAGAAGACTGTTTATGGGGCGCTGGCAGGTCAGAGGTGAACTGTCTCAGCCACCTCCAGCTAGCAGCTTACCCTCACCACACCACCCTGTGTACTCCAGCCTGCAAGTCTGTTGCAGCCGTTTTTCAAGCTTCCTGGCTTAGTTCGTGTGCTAATTGCTTCAATCTCTGAGGGGTTGACCCAGATTTTGCAATTAAGCCAGTCAATAAGCCAGACTGTGGAAGTGAACGCTAGTCAGCCTGCCTCAGCCTACCATCCAGCCTGTCTCCTGTCATCCAGCTGCTCCTTCATTGCTGTGTGCATCGTTACACGTCTTCCAGTCAGCCATTCTCGTGGGTTAAGCCAGTCAGCCAGCCCAGCTTCCTAACCCAGCTGAGAGAGAGAAGTAAGCTACGCAAGTTCCTCTGAAGTATTGTCTCGTATATCGCTTGTGCTTGGATGCTGGTAAGAGTGGTCTTCATCATCCCTGTGGCATTGTGATTTAGTTAAGCCACCTTGTGCATGGTGAGAAGTGCGTGGCAGTGAGAGCGCACAGGGCCAGCTTGTTCCGCTGCCCCCACCACCACAACCACCACCCAATCACCACCACCACCTGCCACCCACCTCATCTACCTGTGGGGTTTTTCTTTTTCCACCCTTGTACCGGGTCCTAGTACTGTTTTGGCTCACATAATTGGTCAAGAGATTGTAGCTGGCACCAACAATAAAGCCAGTTATGTGAGTTCACCTAGAAAGCGCATTTCTACGAGAACAGTGTGAGTGTAGGAGGCGCAATCACCCGCAGGACAACCTTACCCTCATCACTAGTCACTCCGTCTACTACTCCAGACTTCAGTGATAATTTTCTGTTTAGAGACATTTTCCTGCATTTAAAGACATTTGCGTGTGTGAGACATTTACAGTGAATTTCTTGTGTACTCTAGGCCTTGTGTTTTCAGTGTAGACTCAGTGTTTCTTTGACTCATTATTTTTGCAATATTTTTCAGTGTTATCGCTCATCTCTTGTGTTTCATTTTTATAATTTTTATCTGTGTTTTTTTTTATGCTACTCTCTGTCTGTAGTAAGTATTATTCTGTAGTGTACCAGTCAGTCACTCCGTGTGAAATTTAATTCAATTTTTTTTATTTTATCTTGTGTTCTTTCGCATTGTTTTCTCCAGTATTTGTCTTTATAGCAAATTATCCATTTATTTCTATGTGAAACCTTTTTTCGTTTTGCCAGCGTGTCTCATTCCCTGATCTTTTCGCAGACTTGTGTACCATTATCTTTGCCAGCAATTTTTGTCGTTCAGTCACAGCAAGATTTTGTTGCAAGAATATACTAAAAAAATTAATAAGTGAATATGTTGTGTGTGCCCCACCACTTGTAAGTGTTGTGTGCCCTGCCACTTATAAGTGTTGTGTGCCCTGCCACTTGTAAGTGTTGTGCCCCGCCACTTGTAAGTGTTGTGTGCCCCGCCACTTGTAAGTGTTGTGTGCCCTGCCACTTATAAGTGTTGTGTGCCCTGCCACTTATAAGTGTTGTGTGCCCCACCACTTGTAAGTGTTGTGTGCCCCACCACTTGTAAGTGTTGTGTGCCCTGCCACTTATAAGTTTTTTGTGTGCCCTGCCACTTGTAAGTGTTGTGTGCCCCGCCACTTGTAAGTGTTGTGTGCCCCGCCACTTGTAAGTGTTGTGTGCCCCGCCACTTGTAAGTGTTGTGTGCCCCGCCACTTGTAAGTGTTACACTTCCAGTTTGTTTCTTGTTTTATTTTTATTCATATTTTCATATTTCTTTAAAACAAATTCACTCTTTAGTGTAATTTCAATTTCTTTTTTAACGTAAAGTGTTTTCTTTACTCTGTTTGAGTAAATTGTTTTGTCTAATTTAGAATTAAGAGTTAAAGTGTTCAATCAGTTTTTCTTCATATTTTTATTTTTATTATTTAACCTACATTTTCCCAGTGTAATTTTAAATTACTGCAGTGATTATTTCAAACACCTTATTTTGTTGCACTTGTTCTGCAGTGAATTATTTTGTTGCA